CTTTCGAAGTGTATTCGGATCACAAAAGTCTTAGATACCTCTTTTCCCAGAAGGAATTAAACATGAGGCAACGAAGGTGGATGGAATTTCTGGAAGATTACGACTGTACAATCAATTACCATCCGGGAAAGGCAAATGTGGTAGCAGATGCCTTGAGTCGTAAGGTGCAAGTAGCAGGGCTAATGATTAAGGAGTGGGATTTGCTAGAATCCGTGTGCGAGTGGAAACCCTGTCTTGGGAGTCATAAGGTGATATTTGGCAATGTTAGGGTGACCTCCACTTTACTGGAACGTATTAAAGAGGCACAAAAAGAAGATTTGATGGTACAGAAATGGAGAGAGAAAGTGGATAAGGGAGAAACTACGGACTTTAATTTGAGTCCTGAGGGTATTTTAAAATATCGGAACCGAATAGTGGTACCGAAGGTGGAGTCGTTGAAAATGGAGATTCTGGAGGAAGCTCATCGGTCCAAGTATACAATCCATCCGGGCAGCAGCAAGATGTATCAAGATCTAAAAGGAACCTATTGGTGGGACAACATGAAGAAGGAAGTCGCTCAGTACGTGCAGAAATGTCTCATTTGCCAGCAAGTGAAGGCAGAGCATCAAAAACCATCGGGTCTGTTACAACCCTTGGAGATACCCGAGTGGAAGTGGGAAAACATCACCATGGACTTCGTTTCAGGTTTACCGAGGACGCAAAGAGGACACGATGCCGTTTAGGTGATCGTTGATCGATTAACCAAGTCGGCCCATTTCTTGCCGGTGAACATGAAGTATTCAATGGACAAGTTAGCTCGACTGTACATGGATGAGGTTGTAAGACTACACGGTGTTCCTGTGAGCATCGTTTCCGATCGGGATCCGCGGTTTGTATCACGATTTTGGCAGAAGTTCCAAGAAACCCTGGGGACGAAACTCAATTTGAGCACGACCTATCATCCTCAGACGGATGGCCAGTCAGAACGGACTATTCAAACTCTCGAGGACATGCTACGAACGTGCATTCTGGACTTTGGTGGCAACTGGGGTCAGCACATGACCTTGGTAGAGTTTGCGTACAACAATAGCTTCCATTCGTCAATTCAAATGGCTCCGTACGAAGCTCTCTACGGACGCAAGTGCCGGTCACCGATTTACTGGGATGAAGTTGGTGAAAAGAAAGCACTAGACTCGGCAACCATTCCATGGATGGAAGAGGCTCAGGAAAAGGTCAAGTTGATACGGCAACGACTTCAAACAGCTCAGAGTCGACAAAAGAGCTACGCAGATAACCGAAGAAAAGATTTGGAATTTGAAGTTGGAGAACATGTATTTCTCAAAATCACACCCTTACGAAGTCTTACAACGGGTAAAGGAAAGAAGCTTCAACCGCGGTACGTCGGACCCTACAAGATCCTTCAGAGGGTTGGAACGGTCGCGTATCGATTGGAACTGCCATCCAGTCTATCTCGAATCCATGATGTATTTCACGTCTCGATGCTAAAGAAGTATCATCCAGACCCATCCCATATATTGCAACCGGAGGAGATTGAAGTGGACGAATCACTGGCCTATGAAGAGAAACCGGTCCAAGTGCTCGATCGGAAAGTCAAAGAGCTCAGAAACAAGCGGATTCCACTAGTGAAGGTGCTATGGAGAAACCACGGAGTTGAGGAAGCCACCTGGGAGATGGAAGAGGAAATGCGAAAGAAATACCCAAACCTTTTCGGGAATTAAGGTGAGAAATTTCGAGGACGAAATTCTTTTAAGGGGGGGAGAGTGTGAGAACCCGTAAAACCCTAATATTTTTCCTAGGGTTTATTGCCCCTTAATTGCATAATTTTTGCATTTTCTGGCTTAGAAATATTTTCTGGTAGATTTTATGAGCAGTTCTAGTTTCTAGATGATTTTTCTAGTATTGGAGAATTTTTAGAAAATTAAGAATATATTTTGGACGTGGGACCCACTAGTGCGAAAAGTTCAGAAAAATTCGGCCAATAAGGTTAAGTTTCGGATACTGTGTAAAATTTATCGGGTGTTAAGAGATAAGTAGAGAGTGAGATTTGATTGATGTGAGAGAGAAAAGAAAGGATAGGAATGCATTTATGGTGGTGACAAGTGTCACTATCTCATCGGTTTTACTTTAAGATTTACTATTCACCTTTTGACATTTTTTTTGACTTTTGACCCAATTAAGTAAATATCCTAAAAATTCACCAAAATTCACCATTTTTCCTCTCCTTGTGGCCGGCTCTCTTCCTTGCAAAGAAGAAAGAAATTCTTCAACTTTCTAGCTTCCATTTCACTCAATCTTCCACAACTAATCACCTAGATTAGATTCTACTCCATAAAAACCTTTCTTCTAGTGCTAGTAAGTAGTTTGGTGAAGTTTGTTTGAAGAGCTAAGGTGTCCAACATCTCCCTCTCTCTTGATTTCTTGGTAAGTGATGCTTGAACACTCTACTACACCTAATGATGTTTATGTTATGCTTACAAGTAGCTTGGGTGATGGAATATGTGATTTCTTTCTTGATTTGAAGAGTTTTGGTGAAGTTTTCCATTTTATGATGAATTTTCTGGTTTAATATGAATGGGATGTTGTGGCCTTGTATGATGAATGGTAATGGTTTAAAATGACTCTAGTAGGTGTGAATTATTGATAAATGCAATCAATTTTGGATTTGGATGGAAAAATGGAAAGTTAGGGTTCATAATTCCCTAATTCTGTCCGGTTTTAGATCATAGGGTTAGAGGCCGAATTGGACTTTGCTCAAAACATGAAAGTTGTAGGTATTGATGAGTTTGAAGTGCCTACAAAATGTCAGGTCATTTGGATTTGCGTAGAGTGAGTTATATCGATTTTACTGTTGCTGGTCTGGGTTGCTCAGAATGTGAAAACTGCGCTTGTAATCGTTTGTTTTGACTGGAATTGGTTTGGATTTTGAAGTTGGTGTCTTCTGAGGAAATGTATCTGGATGTCTTAGATAACATATGCCTTTGGAATTTCGGCATTTGGACCTGTATAGACTGAGTTGTGTTCATTATAGCATAGTGCGATTTGGGAACCTGCAATTTCGGTTCTGGATTTGGTATTCTGCATTTTTGACCTAGTTGTGCTAGGATTTGGACTGAGTGGCCTTCTACAATGTTGTAGCCCTGTTTCTTAGCTTCGAAACGGTGGGTCTTACACCCCCATCCGATAACCGTAGTGAATTTGACGCCATTACCGCATTTTAAGGTCAAACACGGTTTTCCTATCAAGGCTTAAGCTAAAGCCATTTTGTAATTTCTGGTTACCAATGATGCTTATTTATGCATATGAAACCCTATTGGGGTTATGTTTAGCATTGTTTTGCGACTCGTTCACGAGTCTTATGGCACTTATTTATATGTTCTAGGAGGAAACGGTGGTTCACGACGCACTTTGGACCGCAGTGCATGAAACATCATTTTCTTGCTTGGTGAGTATACTACTCACTTAATTGTTACTATGTGGCTTTGCTAAATGTATATGGGAAATTACTGATTAACATAGTGTGAAAATAATGGAACAGAATAATAAAATTTAATATGAAATTAAGTAAAAATCTTGACAATTCCATGACTGGAGTTTGTTATGTATTACAATTTACAATAATCAAATTGTTTATGGTTTATGAATCAGTACGTGTATCAAATAGATTTAGTGTTTCATGCATGTATTAGTAAACCATTTTGGTTATTTGATCAACTAGTTTATTATTAACTAGTAAACCAATTGGTTGACTGGAGTTTATTATTAATTACAATAGTCACATTGTTTATGGTTTATGAATCGGTACTTGTACCAAAAACATTTAGTGTGTCATGCATGTATTAGCAAACTATTTTGGTTATTTGATCAACTAAACAGTATTGTTAGGTCTTGTCAAACCATAATTCGTACATAATTCATAAAATTATTAAAATAATACCAAAAATATTTACATCAAAAGATTTTTTTTGAATCATAAACATATTTTTAATAAGCTTTTTAGTTTTTGGACATTAATTTTTTGTAGAGATAAAAAAAAAACCTGTGTTAGTAAACAACATTATCAAAAAACACTAAAATTTCATATTCTAAAGTTTTAATGCAACAAATAAAGTTTTAATACAACTTATGAGCTAAAAACTCAAAATAATAAACAACTTTAATTACACAAAGATAGCGAAAAGAAAAAGAGATATACTAGAGAGGCGTTGTTTTTGTAAAGAAAGGTCCAAATAGTTAGTACAAAAGTCACTTGAAAGCGTTATTTTTTGGCTGAACCTAAAATGGAAGTGGGAAGCTCAAAATTGGAGTAGAGGCGGGGGAAGTTGAAATTTGGTGTACAGGCGGGGAAAGCTAAAAATTGAACAAAATTGAACGAGTAGAGACGGGTAAACAAAAGAAGCAGAAACGACGTCATTTTAGCAAAAGTTAAACAAAAACACTCATAACACTTAGAAAAATTTTGGACATCATTTTAGCAAGACATTCATCGCGACATCTCCAAGAATTCTCGCCAACCCTACGCTGTCTCTAGGTCCGCCGGCCACCAGACCTCCGCCGAGTCTTGGGGTGCTGGTCTCACTGTTTCCCATATCTCTCGTGTTCCTGGTGGTGGCACTCACCGTGCCGGCCAGGGTGTCTATGGCATCATGTGCTGCGGTGGCCGCATGTTTGCTCCGACCAAGATCTGGCACCGTTGGCACCGCAGGTCCAAGTTAACAAGAAATGGTATGCCGTGGTTTCTGCCATCGCCGCCTCTACAGTGCCTTCCCTTGTCATGGCATGCAGCCACCGGATCGAGTCTGTCCTGCAAATCCCCTGTGTGATCTCCGATTCTGTTGAGGCCATGGAGAAAACCTCCAATGCTATCAGTCTTCTCAAGAAAATTGGGGCTTGCCTTGATGCTGAGAAGGCTAAGGACAGCCAGGGTTGTCTGATTTTACGGAGGAGCCGGAAAGGGCTGCTTCCATTGTGGCGGAGCTGGTGGAGTTTGGGAGGAAAAGGGTACCTCGGGAGTACTGGAGGGAGACTAAAATTAGGCTAATGGCAACTGCTGGTTTGAGGATGTTGGAGAAAGGAGTTCAAGATAGGATTTTGGAGGCTTGCCGAACCGTGTTGAGGGGCTCGGGTTTCAGGTTTTACGATGATTGGGCATCCGTTATTTCCGGTATGATGCCATTTGGCTTGTGGATTTCTTTTAATTTTGGTTCTCTGATCTGCATTTTGAAGCATGTTTTGTATAATCAATGGTAAGAGTGTTGGAAATTCTAGTGTTTTGCTCTAGTTGGTATGCTAGTGACGTATCTGGACATTGAGAATGTGAACTTTTGCAACCCTGTCTGAGTGGATATAACTTCTTGGTTAGGTGTTTGTTATTGCTTATCTTTTTGGTTTATTCAACTTCAAGTGACAATGTGCTTGCTAAGCAGTCAAAATTTGAACTCTAAGTAAGTAAGGCTAGATTATAGGTAGATTTAGATTTTTGAATTCTGGGTAAAATATACTTGGATGTTGGTCTCATGCTAACTACTGCATTTCCTATTTAATAGCTTGGCAATGCTATATGGGCTTTTATTTAGTCATATTAATTCTTATAAACTGGTTTTGTTAGCATTTAATTCTTGTTATATTTTGAAAGTCTAAAGTTGGATGATCCATTGTTTAGGTTCTGATGAAGGTGTATATGCCTGGGTCGTTGCTAATTATGCCCTTGGCACTCTAGGAGGTGATCCTAAGCAAACAACTGGTATTATTGAACTTGGAGGTGCTTCAGCTCAGGTTGTGAATTTATTTTCAATTGTTAGGTTCTTCTATAGTTAAGACATGCTCATATTCATTGACTTATGTGGAACTCATGTCTGAATTTTTTCTAGTTAGTTGAGTATTTCTTCTACTCATAGGTGAAGCTTTTAGTGTAATGAATGGTGACTTCTTATACATTTGTAATGCCAACTGAAACTGCAAACTAAGTATTGTTATTTTGGTTCTAAATATGATGGGGCTCAAATCTTTCCTTGTCAAAACTGCTATAGTTATTATGATTTTCTTCTATATTTGTTCAAGGAGTTGACATGTAAAATTTTTTTAAAAAAGGTGTTGACATGTATGATGAATCTTGTTAACAGATGCTGAGGAAGTTAAGTAAACAGCTGAATGGTGAGGATTGGATGTGGAACAACCTAAATACCTTGCTGGGCAATAGGATCTATATCAGGATCAATGATGGAGGAACAAGTGTATTGCTTTATGCTGCATATTTTTCCTGTTTTTTAGTCTTTCTTCGCTGAGTGACTATTTTCTGGCTTCTTTCTACTCCGAATGAGACCTTGTGTTTGGATAACTTTCAGTTTTGTGGTTCTTTTTCTTTTTCACCATTTTCTTACTTTTATTTTTTGCATCAACTGTGGCAGGAAAACAAGTTTCTTGTGATGGTGATACGTGATTTGTTAAACCTTTGTGAGATTACAAAAGGCAAAGACAACAAAGTAGTTATTGCAAGTAATATAATGTGAGATGTTAAACTACATTTTCATTATGATAGAGTAGGTAGCAGTAACTAGGCATTCTTATGTGATAACTTTATCTCGGTTAACTATTTGCAAATGAAATTTATTCAGGCAAATGACCGTGAACTCCAGTTTTTGATGGTTGATGGTGATTTCAAGAAGTTTGAAGGAAAATGGTCTGTCAAATCTGGTAAAAGGTAAATTCTGGTGTAACATATTTTGCATCTCCTTCCTGGTGATGTGTGTTTTTGAGGATGATTAAAGATTCAAGTATCATTTGGTTGTTAACATTTTTGGCAATCCATGATGGTTATCCATCTCAACTGTTGCATGAAAATGTAGCCTCTTTAGTTTTGGAGTCTTTATTCAACTAAAATGATATTGTTTACCTTTACATAGCACTGGTAAACATCTTTAGTATGCTTATAGAAGGAATCAACTACAACCTAAACGGCTATGTAATGAGTACTAATATTCTCTTTCATTTAGCAATTGTGTTTAGACATCATTTAACATGTGCAGTTAATTGTTCATGTCTGATCTGCGACAAGATAAGTTAATGGCTAAGTGAGAGGAGTTGGTCTAAAATTTAGTTCTTGTATCTCTTGCCATTAATATTTTTTGAGACAAATTGGAGCACTATATTGAGAAAATTGAGTTGTGACTACATCTAATAACCTTGCCTCAAGGGATTCTCTCCAAGTTTGGAAAATTCTTTATGCTGCCTCAGTTACATCTGATGTTGCATCTCCCACACAGAGATGAAACAATTGAATGTACAAACCATGGTTATGGACTGTAATCCTATTTAGAAGTATTCCTCTGGTTTCTATGGACAAGTTTTGGTTAGTTTCCGAACTGGTATCTTTTGCAGTAGCCTTCCTTTTATTTGGCTTTGTAAGCACCGTAAGCATAGTTTTAGAAGACTATCCTATTAGATCAATATTTGTCTAATTTTTTGTTTATCGATACTGTGGCGACCCCACTTCCCCCTGAGGCGAACCAAAGGGTTGGCGGGCCGTCTGCCCAACTTTCGCCAGAACTCACGCAAGCATTCTAACCCAAATCCTTTCGAAGATTAACCTAATCTATTACAAAACAATTTTTCCCGAATAGGATCATCCTTAAAACCACATTAACTTCAGAGATAGCAGTGATAAATTAGCCAGTCGAGGCCCTTAAACGACCTACGTGCTACGTACCGAAGTATAAGTCGTACCCAACCAGATACATAAATACATAAATCCATAATACAAGCTTACAAGCCAAGTAATTGAATTAGGGTTTACACATTTTTCAGCTTCAAGTCGCAACCCAAAAAGGAAAATACATTATCCCAAATAACACATTACAGCCCACAGAATAAGTTATAGTATTCAAATACAGTCCAAAAAGAAAAACATAAGTAAGCATCCCGCTTTCAGTTTCCAGAACCTGTTAAGGAAAACAATAAACGTGGGGTGAGCTAAAGCTCAGTGGTGCCCCAAAACATGCAATCACATAAATCAAACAACGAGTAATAATTTAATCAAATTGAACAGTTAGGAAAGCGTGTAACAGCACAAGGTAGGATACAGGGGCTCTCAGGAGCCATTTTCCACGCTTGATCAGATACCATCGTAGTTGACCCTCCGTCAACTTTCACTACTTATAGTCCATGTAGATCCACTTATTTTAATCCTAACCCGTCACCGTTCATACCTCTGCTTCGGGCCCGAACTTCGACTACCGACGCAGTATACTCGAGATATACCAGTATAAAATTTGTCGAGGGATTCACCCAACGACGTTATTGTAGTTAGATTCACGCGTCGAGGGATTCACCCAACGACGTAACTACGTTTAGATTTATGGTAGTTAGATTCACGCGTCGAGGGATTCACCCAACGACGTAACTACATTTAGATTTATAAAAAAAATGATTCACACAAGCCACCACTCGAACGGCTAGTGCGATAAAGTACACAATGCTCACTTTGATGGATCAAAAACCATTTATTTCATTTTGACAGTTATCACATAGCGAGTTGATAAAGCACTTAACCACATAGGCATAAAACAAGCAGGGACACTCACCAAGAGTGGAGGTCAGATATCAAGTTGGAATCGAATTCCGCGTCCTCCAATACCCTAGAAAACCAGGTTTTAAAACTATAAGTGTTGTTATACGGGTTCTTGGTTTATAAATACAAGGTTATCTAGTACATAACTAGTTTATCTACTCCAAATAAATCAACAATTTCCCTAGAGTTAAACTGATGAAAGTGATGAAATACTTCGTAGGATTTCTTTCTTTCTAGAGGTGCAAACCAGAACCAATTTGCTTTGAATAAGATTTCTTGCCAAACAAGCTTTCTGCGCCGTTTATTTAAAATTATTAAAATCAAGTTTGACCTTTAAAGTACAAATATAACACTTTCAATTTCTATTCAAGTTCCAGGTTTATAACTATAAAGGTTTATCGAGTATATAACTAGTTTATCGTTTCGAAGTAAATTCAAAGATTTACTTAGGTTGAAACTTGGCAAAAGTAGTAAAAATGTTTCTTGTAGTTTTCCCTATAAAAGGTAATTAGTATTATTTTCTTGAGATAAATCGACAAACCACTTAATATCAAAACTAGAAAGATACTTCGAAAGATTTCTTTTAAGCTATGGTTCTTGTAAAAATTGTCACTAAAAACTATTTTATCTAAAATAAAGTTTCTTGCTGAGCAAGTTTCTACATTTTTAATTAAAGCTATTAAAACTCTTATTTTGGAACTTTTCCTACCGACAACTATCCAAGGCAAATCTTCAAGAAAGAAAAGGAATTAAAATAAGACTTGGGGTTTTCAAAAGCTAGAGAAATTATTTTCTATAACTATTAAGGCTAGTTTAAGCTAAAGGAAAATTTATCGAGTTGGAAAATTTTAGGCAAAACACTAGATATTGAGTTTTATAATCTAATACTAGCTGGAAAAATATTTTTGATTAATTTGATCACAGTTACTCGAGTTCGCAAGGTCGAAACGACTTTCACAGTTTTGATTCCATTTCGCAATCATATTATGGATCAAATATGGCAAAATCACATAGCAAATCACTAGGGCTTCGTCAATCATTAGCCCTAGATTTCAACAATTGCATTTCTGATAAAAATAAAATTGAACGACCAAGGCTTCATCAACCATTAGCACTTGGTTTCAGCAAGCCCATCATAAGCAAATAAAAATAAAAGTAAGGCCTCCAAGACATTCCAGCAATTAACTTTCATCATCCAGTAGTACTTATAAAGTCATTCAAATGGCCAATGGTTTCATCAATCATTAGCTCTTGACAACCAATACACACTTTCAAATACCAATTCATTCAAAACAAGAACAAAAACTACAACCAACTTGAGATCCAAATGATTCCAAGAATCTAAAATATCCATTAAACTTTCCACTTTTATTTGCTAGAATCACTATACATATAGATTATAATCTGTCCAAACCAAGCTAAAGTAAATAATACACAAATCCAGCAAATAAACTCACCAAAAGTCCCAACCAGTTCGGTCATGCTGGAAAAATATTTTCCTTCAAAAATTGCTTTAGTTCATGTTCCACAAATCAAACAGTTATGAAAATTATACTGTTGTAGAATAGATTTTTAATACTATCACATCCCAGAAGACACTTTTCAGAGATTCAAATCACAAATGGGCCTAATATTCTATCCAAGTCAAGAATTCAGTTTCCTGAGGAAACAGGACATTCAAACAGGACAGCCTACTTTGAGGAATCACGGACAGCAGTACACATGGAGGAAAAATATGACATTTCTACAAAACAAAGGCCCATGACTCTAGTTTCAAATGCCACTGACGGCACCTCAATCGGATTTTCCTACACCAAGATATAAGCATTTTACTGAGACTGGTCAGAGAAATCCGAAAATCTGGAAACTCATTTTTCACTTGTGAAAAACTCCTTTTCCTCTTTTAAAACCATAATACTCTTATTCAAATCATCATACATTTAAGTATGATATTCATACCAGCATATACCAAAGCAAATAACGCTTAATTCCAATAAATTATTCCACCAAAAAGTCCCCATAAATCTGTCATCAGCTAAGATAAAAGTTGCCTGCAATTGATAGTTTATTTATATAGCTTTTGTTCCTAGTTTTCTTCAATTCTTACCTCAGCTCAACATGCAACATGTGATTAGCAAGCCTCAAGCAAATCTTAAACAGCCAATACGAAAATCTGAATTGAAATTCGAAAACAAAACTAATTAAATGCTCACTTCCTTCTCTCGACCAAGCTGGAATATTTTGCAGCAGAAAATTTCCCTCGGTTTCAATCCACAATTCAACTTTTCCTCAGATTTTGCTCCATTAAACTTCACTTAATACTTAAAGCTAATAATCTATATGCAATTTATAACAAAATTTTCCATTTGACAGCAATTACAAATGCAAACAAACATGAAGTCTCTCGGCTATTCCAGAAAATTTCCAGCAGCTAAGTTAGACACAAATCTGGAGTTTCTTCAGCTAAAACCTTGTATTAGGTACTCAAAACCAACATGCATGACTAATTAGTGGAATTACTATCAGCTCTGGTTTAAATCAGGTTCGGACAGCAACTACTATCATCCACAATTCCAGAATTTTGTTCAACCATTCTCGGATGCTCTTGCATGCAGCAAATTCTTTTGTTACATCCTTATTTCTTGCTTAGCCGACTGATTAACCTCATGCAAGACTTAATCATCTGATTTTTAATTAGTCAAGCACCTAACCAAGTGAAAGTCAACCATTTTCCAGCAAATTTCCAGAAACAAACCTCGGTTGTTGTGGCATGAAAACTGATTGCATTGTGATTTTATTTTGGTTTTAACCCATTAATTAACTACATGCAAGGCTCAATTATCTTGTTATTATCTAGTTAGTTATGGTTATAAGCCTAAAGCAATAAGATTAAACCAAATGAAACTACATTATTCAAGATGTGAGAACCCGTAAAACCCTAATATTTTTCCTAGGGTTTATTGCCCCTTAATTGCATAATTTTTGCATTTTCTGGCTTAGAAATATTTTCTGGTAGATTTTATGAGCAGTTCTAGTTTCTAGATGATTTTTCTAGTATTGGAGAATTTTTAGAAAATTAAGAATATATTTTGGACGTGGGACCCACTAGTGCGAAAAGTTCGGAAAAATTCGGC